GTATGTCATTACATTTGATCTATGCACTGCGCTTATGGACCACTTGTATTTTGATTTATTGCTTCCGCATTTGTGAGCCCCGTTTATTATATTCAGATTGTGTAAATTTTTGAAAGTCGGCCTTCGGTAATCTCGGATTACTGGCCATCACGGCACCAAACTACTAGGGGCGGTTTGGAGTCGTGACAACCTAAGTAAAGAAGCATGTAAGGCATGAAGCAATACAACCTACAAGTATGCAAGACACAATATGGATGTTCAAGCATGCAAGCACGTATGTGACTTCATTCAATCAAGCAGCAACACACTAGTATGCAACAACACACAAGGTAAGCATGCAACAACATGTGGACTTAAACTAATTTCGGCAGCCCTCAAACAAGCCTAAAACAGTGGCCATAAACTATGGAGATGGGGCCAAATGCACATACAAGCATGCATGCATACATGATCCAATTCCTAAGCATCAAAAGGCAACTTTTAAGCACACTTAAAAGAGATGATCATGGACATATGACAAACATACCAAACTCTGAAATTGCATAAAATGGAGGTGCCAAACCAACCAATTAAAGCAAGCAAAGCATGCTCATGACATCACACATTCAAGGCCTACAAGCTAGAATGCAAAGAGACTATACAAAATATGTTAAGCATGACCAAAGCAACTGAAAACAGAGCTAAAGCACACTAAAACATACACAAAAGCTTCACAAAGCTTGGCCAAAACCATGCTAGAACAAGGGTCAATACTTAAAGCATGCTAAGGCCAAAACATGGCATTACAAGGCATGTATGCTAAACAAGCATGGTGTACCTAAACCAACTAAAAACAGAGCTATATGATGACATAATAAACACAAAAATCAGTTAAGGCGTGATTAACATGGACCTAAACTAGATGCTCCCTCATGAGGCTAAAATTGCCATTTTCAAGGACAACAAGGAGAGGGGGTGGCCCTCTCCTTCTTAGGACCTCAAGGCACCATCCTCACCACTGCAATCCCTCAAGATTTCAGTGGTGAGGAGGCTCAAACACAATGGTCCCGGAGCTCACCAAAAATGCACAAAAATGGAGCCTAACAAGGCTTAAGAGAGGTCAAACAACCTCAAAACTCAAAACACTCTTAAACAACTATTTAGAGTAGACAAAAACAAGACTTTTATATGTTATACACCAAGTCTAAAAACAGTTCCAAGGCAGATTAAAGAGCTATGCAAAAATGGGGAATAAAAGGGATAAGTTATTACCCTTGTTGGCCCTCTTCAAGAATGATGGACCAGCAGTTTCTTTGGCTCAAACCAGCTCCAAAACTTCAAGAGTAGTCTCTTAGTACCTCAGTAGCTAAAGGAAGGTGTAATGGTGGGTGTTTGTGTACAAAAGTAAGACAAAACACACACAAAACACAAGAGAGAGGGAGATATAGATATAGGATAGATACACAACTCAAACCCTAAAACCAGAGCCCTCTGAAAAATGTTGTCTAACCTAAAAGAGGGAGAAGAGGCCTCCTCTTATAGAAGATTCAACCTTGTAAAGCTTCCAAGGCAAGCTAACAAAGTTGAAATCCCTCCATACACGTGTATGGAGGGGAGCAAAGGTGGGTGCCAGCTATCACAGCTGGCACAAAAATATCTGCAAATGCAGGTGAACAGTGGTCGGCCAGCCAAAAATGCAATTTGACCAAAATAGATGATCGGCCGGCCACAAAAAGTGCTGGCCGGCCAAATATTTGGCCGGTGTCAACAAAACAATGGCCGATGGCCCCAAGCCATGGCCGGTGATGTGTGGGGATGGCCAATAAGCCATTCCCTGCCCCCTTCAAGGCAAAACACAAGTGTTTGGTGCAAAACCAAACACAAAACAGTCGAGTCGAGAGATCCTGAGGCAAGGCGCGTAGCTGAGACCTCCGGGAACTCAAAACGAACACAAACAAGGATGATCACCGAGTGTTCAAACGGTGACGCCCAAGTCTTGAGAACGGTCAAAAATAGGGTGTCTACATCATGAAATTTAGTCCAATAAAATTCAATAAATAAATACTTTTCCCTACTCTATCCTCTATCTTGTCTAGGTTTGGTTTATCTAGTTGGTAAGCCTTCAATTGAGAAAAGAGTCGTTGGGCTTTCACTTTGAATTCTATTTCTTTTAAAGCTTTATCAGTGGCGTCCATTTCCTTCTCTTTATGCACTTCGTTCATAACAGCATCCTCCCCATACTCAGAATCCTGACTCTTGATGGCTTCATATTCATCAAGAAGGTTTTCTGCCTCATATTGAACCTCGATTCGAGCAGAAATGGCTTCATCCAGAGCTTCACTGGTAATGGAAGCATAGAAGTGCCAGTTGAGTAGAAGAGAAGTTGGTCTAAAAAGGTATAGAGCTCCATTTGGGCCACAGGGTTAAGAAGATAGCTTCGAGACATAATGTCACAAGTCCATAAAAAGTTTTGGTGGGGAATGTCATTTCGAAGGACCTCAAAGGATAAATGAGAAAATACAGCAAGCAATATCTGAGCCCTGAACTGCTGATAAGGAGTTGGAGGCACCAGGACCTTGTAAGGGGGAAAGGATCGGCCCTCAGAGAGAGTGAGCTTCAACTCATTAATCCAATTTGGATTAGAAGGCAGAGAAGGAGTAGTCGGAGGTTCCCTAGGTGAGTCCAGAAATTCAGGCCTGGTCACACATTCTAGCCAATTAGAGGGGTAAAGTTTTGCCTTTTTGGCTAAAAGCGCAGGACTGATCCCTAGAGTCTCAGTGGGATGTGGGACACTTCGAACCATCCGAGATGGCAAGGTAGAAGTATACCATGATGTAAGCAGATTGTCTTCAAGACTACGCCTACGGTTAATAGGAACATATGGATATACTACTAAACTGCGTTTAGAAGGAGGAATGTCAAAAGGGTCATCGAATTCAGGGAAACGATGATGAATGCGTTCCATTGTCTGAGGTTGAGCAATGGTAGACCAAGTTCCCCAACCAGAGGCCGTAGAAGAAGAAGAAGCAGCAGCAGCTTCATCCCACGCGGATAGTTTTGTTCCAGAAGAAGAGCTTCCAATATCCATGGCCTCAAATTTGTGTTCCAAAGAATCGTAAGCAGTAGGTTCTTGGTTCGAAGGTCAACATTTTGCGAAAGCTTCCATAACTTGTATAAATGGAGGCGGATAAAGGTGGCCAATTAATGCATGAAGGTTCTTTCGAGGGCGAACAACATCATCAAGTAACTCTTCGTATGCTTGATCAATGTAAGAAAAGCCTTGTTTGGCCATGAAAGATGTATCCGTCTTTTCGAATACCGAGATAGTGGAGATGATCAAAGGATAGAAGGAAATTTAATGCAAGTGTTCATTGATAAATGACTGTTGCATTTATGAAAAAGCCCATGCACATTCTAAGACGTGGGTAAAATGTCTTGATCCGCTAATATCACAAAGTATTGGGTATATTAGTGCGGGGGGTAATGTTGGCTACATATTTCGTATAAAGCCAATCATAGTTCAACATGAGGGCAATACGGGAAGACAATTCAAATCTTCGATTGTAATCGTACACGTGGCAGTTAGTATTGGTTTTTATAAGAACTGCGTAGCACTGGATCAGCAAAGAGATGCAAAATGATGTGGCTTCAATGGTTACTCATATATAAATTCAAAATCAGGAAGGAAGCCTAACTACAGATATTGGCATAGTGGAGCTAACTATAAGGCAACATGATCAGCGATCATGGAGGGGCGATTCGACAGTTAGAAATACAACTCGACGGTTATCATTGAGAAGAATAAATAGCAAAGAAGGTCCCACAAAGTAGCCCCAGACTCAGATCCAAAAAATCAGTTTTATCTACTTTATTTTTCCTTCCAGTTTTTACATTTCTTGTTCTTTACATTTCTGTACTTCAAATTCCTGCACTGTATTTCGTTTATAGGAGTAGTTTTCAAGTAGTTTGTTACTATAAATCTCTACGAGGCTGATTTGGATCTTTGTAAGTCTTTCATTTTGCTTAATGAAATGCTACAATTGTTCTTCATTTATTCATTGTTTGCTTAATTCTCCTAAACAAAGCCACTAGTAGAAGTCCTATTCATTGAGGCTAAAAGAACTAAAACATAATCGTCTGATAATTAGTTGGCAATTAATATTCTGTAAGGACTGATTGATCCTTACTGGCACGCTCACAATTACAATAATAATCTTCGAAAGCCAAAAAGCCAATACAATCCAACTCAATATAACCAAAAGATTATCAAGTAAATTATTAAATACCAATAATAAATACATATAAGAAAACCATGAATTATCAAAACTATTTCATTACTTTTTTTTATTCAAAAACTATTTAATTTGATTTTTTAAAAAATAACAAAATTAACCCTTATATTTTTCACACAAAAATACCAAACATCAATACTTGTCATTTGATAAAAGGATTTCTAAATTGAAAACACAATAGAATATCTAAACTTTTTTTTAATTAAAAATACAAACAGAATATCTAAATAAATTGAAAATACAAAGTCTTCCAAATTGTTAGGGGTACTTGCGATTTGGCGGTTCAAGTGCGACCAAAAGAATCTCAAATTCACTATCCGTTCAAAATTAGGCGGATTGAAAAATATTAATTTGCAACCGTCCGCTCGTTATCATGCATTCATCTAAAATGTGACATGTCGGTTTAGTTCGATCGGTTTAGACGAATCATTGTTTACCCCTATTACAAATTATAAGGGGCTCGTGATTTAACAGTTCGATCACCATTAAAACAACCTCAAATCTACCGTCCATCTGAAATTAGATAAATTAAAAAAAAATAATTCGTAACCATCCGCTCATAAGGTATTAGTCCAAAATACGATGTATCAGTAAAGGGTACTCTTAAGATTGCACACTATATGCAACAAACACAAAAAATATAAATAAAAAGGTGTGAATATAAAACACAAGGCCTAAATATAAGATGTAACTTGCACACTTCAAAAAAAAATGTCCATCAGTAAAATTCGATCGATTTAGACAATCCAACATATCAGCTGCGCACCCTAATGTGTATGCAATGCATCATGGTATATACATGAGATATACATACACGCTTGCAATCCAATCATTCATTTTACCAATCTCTGCGTTCTCTCTGTGAAATCCCTATATCTTTCTCTCAGCTCCCAAATTCTCTTCGGCCCGTAGCTTTGTTCGATTTCTTTGCCAAAGTAAGCGCATCGATGGTCCAACAAGAAGGGCTCCCAAGTCTCCGCAGCTCCTCCTTCAACTTCTGTGCTGTACGTTCGTTACTTCAATTTCAATCCTCATACCCATTTTAGATCCATTGCCTATCTATCATATTTCAATCTTTTTCTGAATTCAAAGCAATTTGAAATATCAATGAATTGTGTTTCTCTTTTGTTCTGTTTCTTCTTCTTTACTCTTTCTTTCTCTTTGTAATATTGTTATCAGTCTATGGTCTTTGATATTCACAATACTGGCATCATCCAATCCTTGCTACTGACTTATTTGGGCAATGTACATTTTGATGAGCATATATGATTGTGACCAAACTATTGCTCAGTGTTTCAATAGTTGACTTAGAGTACTCAAAATTATTATTGTAATGCAAGACCTAATCTAACTGTTTTAGCACCTATTCAGCATTATTGCTTTTTGTTGTTTTGGGGTCACCTGGTCACCCCTCAGCTACTGACTAATGTAGGCATTGGCCCTATTTGGTGCAACTTAGGGTCTGCTTATAGTTTTATTTATTTATTTATTTATTTTTATGTTTTAAAAATCTGTGCAAGAGTGTTTGGTGCAGTTTTTGTGCGTGCTGCTTATGAGGCAGAAATAACTTGTATGAGATGAAAAAAAAAAAAAAAAACACTGATTATTGAGAATCAAAAAAAGATGTGCTTTTTAGCTTTTGCCTTTGATTATAAACTTTTAGCATACAAGAAGTTGCACCAAACAGGTCCATTTGTTAGTTATCTGAACCATAAGTAAGGGATTCTCTGTCTCTAAACCTCTCACTCAATGCACTACTATTCATAGGATCATCCATGTGGAACTTTGTCCTAATGCAGTATCATCCATGTGGAAATCTCGAGGTACAAGAATATCAAGACATGATCCTACAATTAGGAGTGCATTGGGACAAAGGGTCCCATGCGCACCATAAGGTTCTAAAAAAAGTAGTAAAACTTTTAACTTGGCCTCAGTCTTCATGAAATTGTCATTCTGTTGGGGTTATTGTGAAGGTTGTAATGATTCATTTGTGCAATAAATGACACAAATTCTGTGGAAGTGGACATGTGATGTTCATTGCAGCCATCTTATAAGAATTTTGGGTCAATCAATATAGTAGAAAATGCCTAAGGTCTTGGTAAAATAGAACTTGGACTTTCAAAAGTTTCAATATCTCAAGTTTTAAAAGTGCATTATTTGTCAGTCTTTTGAGGAGCCTAACCTAGATCTTCTATGAAAATTTTGTAAATATGCCCATTTCTTAATTCGTAACGAGATTCTTGTTGGTTTGATTTGTGATATAATGACAAACAAGAATTGGCTATATTTCATACCCTGGAATTCTACATTGTAGACATGCATAAAATGTAAGGTAGTTCTTTCTCTATGTATCTTAAAACTTTTAGAAGGTATACCTTGCTCTGAGAAAGTGGTGCATTGTTGATGATGTTTATTGCCTTTTTGTGAATCAGATTTTGGTCACAAGCTGTTTCATGATTTTCTTGGGAAATTGAACTGCTCTGCTCCAATTATCCTATTACTTGGACAATAGTACTATGGTAAGTTTGACACATTTTGCATATGAATGTGTAAACATGCTTCTATTAAACATCTTAAAAAAAAAAAACATTCTTCTTTTCCTTTACAATCTTTTTATTCTGACAACAATAGTCCGAAATCTAGCAGAGCTCTTTTCTGAATTACCCAGTTGGAATTTCACATTTCATGAAGTGCTCTATCCTAAATGTCACAGATCTAATGGCCTTTCAATCTTTTGGATAATAAGGTTCCCAATGTCAATGCAAATATATTACTAATAGAATCTTATCAATGGACTCTGTTTCTGAATTACTCAGTCAAAATAGCATTTTGGAAAAACTGAAAATGTAGGCAATGGTTTTGAACCATTGAGTTTTTGTAAACTTAATATTTAGGAGGGACCCAAACATCCTTTTGGGTGGGTCCAAGTAGTGAAGTGTTCTCCTCAATGTGGTGATTAGCTACATGTATTAACTTATTCAAGGTGAATGAGAAATTAACTCCAAAGTGTACCACTTGAAAATGGTAACTATAAGGTAACAGACCTTAGAAAGCTTGTCCCATGTTGGTAAAATAGGAGACCAATGTGATGTTAACATACTATAGCTTTGCATTTGGGGTTGGGGTTGGGGTTGGGGTTGGGCTAGGGCCCCAAGGGGCATGCCCAGTATTGTAAGAAGGGGAGGACCTAGCCCAATGTGGGTTCACTGCACATGGCTGCTGCCACCACAGAGAATTGGGCCTGACGCGGGTGTGGGTTGGGTCATTAGAGTATATTATCTTTTTGGAAAAAAATTATTTTTATTTAAATAAATTCCAAATGGGTGACCATTTTATTTGGGTCAAAATCGAACCCTCAAATCGAATCGGTTCAAATTTGGAATTTGAACCTGCTATTCCCAAAACAGTCTTGTCTATTCTATTGCACGTTTTCAATGGAAAACTTGTGTCTATTCTCGGTTCAACTTTTCCGAACAGTTGCCATGCCTGTTTGAATAGGCATAAATTCCCCTATATAACTAGTGTTCCGCTGCATTCATTAGCATTCAATTTCGTCCCGTTATGCATACATACATTTTATAAGAGAGAGTATTGCACTGTGTTGGTTCGACAGACACACAGATTGAAGTGCCACATTTGTGTGGTTTCCCAATTGTTGTATACTGAGAGATGAACATCCGTTTAACTCATGCGCACTGTAGCGAATGGCAAAATTCATCTTAAGGACATTATGTCAAACACAAGCCTAGATCACTTCCTATATTCTAAGTTCTTGCAAAATTTAACATTTTGTAAGTTTTATATTCTGTTCCAGAATTCCTATTTTGATTTTGTCTTGATTTTTTTGTTTTGTTTTCCAGCTTCAGTTTCTGTTCAATTACAGATTCTCTTCCTGGTTTATTTTACAGTTTCACACACTAGTACACATAAGATTGTCCAACAAGAAGTACAAGGTTGTCAGCTAAATCCTGGTGAGGGAAGTTCTTTAGTTTATAATATTAAAAAGACCCACTTATGCTTACCAGAGAGTTTCTGCAGATCAATATGGGCAGCAAACCTTTCTTTCATATCTCTGGACGTTTCTCCTAGTTAAACATTTAAGTACTTAACACATTAGTTATTCTATTAGTCAATAAGTATGCCAATGTCTTGCAGTACAATGATCTAGTGCCATTCCCCTTCTGCAGTTTTGAAAAGGTTTCACTCACAAGCATATTTCAGTTTCACTGGCACTTGAGTTTCTTGTCAGATACCTTCTTTTGCATCCTCGTTTGGTTACTGAATGCATTCAACTCAGCACTAACTTGTGTAACTTTCGTTCCCTTTCTCAGCTGTAAGCAAGTGAGCTAGGCTTCTAGGTTCTTCAAAATGTAGAGAGGAGGCAGTTCAGTTCAGTAAGATTTCTGCTATTTAGTGTGTTTTGATGCAGAACAGGGCATCTAACCGAAATGGATCAACTTAATATCAGTGTTCTTTCCAGATTAATGGAACCCTGATCTTGTGTCTAGTAGGTCTCTGCCCCTTCTGAATGATGCCAGAATTGTATATGGATGGAATGACAGTGCCATCTTAATATCAGTGTTCATTACAGATTAATGGAACCATGATCTTGTGACGAATTTTTCTCCCTTCCATTACTCAGATGGAATGACAGTGCCATCTTAATTCATGTATTTTGTATAACCAACCTGGGAAATCACTATTAAAATTGATATTTAAAGCAGCGTGTAATTTATAGTGGCGACGGGCAATAAGTAATACAAAAATTATAGCTAGTGTTGCTGTTGATGATGACATCAGAGGCTGTGTGGTGAACTGCATCTAGGTCATATATTTGTTATTCAAACAAATGAAAATGTCGATGGTTGGGTAATTGTGCAATTAGTAAGTTGCTAGAATGGATTGTGTCCATGGCAAAGGGCAGGCTTGTGTTGTAACTGCAGGGTATTCGTGTGCAGATGCGGAGCTACGTTAGGCCTAGGAGGGGCACATCCTCGAATTTTTTACACCTTTACAGTTCTCTGCTATATCTACTCTCTGCCCCTCTCAAAGATCTCTGCTCCCTTTGAAACTGTTATTTATGATTACTGTTATGAATGCTACAAGAGGACCAAGTTATAAAAGTTCAATTAATATGTTATATGCCCTTTTGTTTTTGTTTTTATTTTTGTTTTGTTTTGTTTTGTTTTGGTTTTTTATTTATTTATATTTCATAGCAGACATGCAAACTTTAAACTCAAAAAAATGCAAAATGTTAGCTTCAACTGAACTTATGTTTTTAAAATTTTATATCGTTTAAAAAATCAAATAACTTTTTTATTTTTATTTTCTTTCTTGGTAAGTGAAATACACAGAACCAACTACATAAAACGTAGATGGAATAACTTGAGTGAAACTATTTTATGATGAACCACACCATCTAATTGTAAGGGGTTGTTTGGCGTGTCCTAAATAAGTGCACTTTTTGTCTTTATGGACTAAAAAATTGAGGAAGAAAATATGGATGTTTGGGTTAACTTTTTGACTTTTTATGGAAAAATGTGTAATAAAAAATTGTAAAAATTTAAAAAATTGTATAAATTAATGTGTAGGGAAAAATTAAGATTGGGAGTTGTGTAGTCGTAATTGTTGACTTTTGGTGAATAGTGTTAACTTTTTAACTTTTTGAGTAACTTTTTGACTTTTTAACTTTTTTGCAATATGCCAAACTTGACCTAAGTTTCTGAATAAACTTGTATATTCAATTGTATCAAAATATAAAGGATACATCTGATTATATAGTACTCCCAACCCTAAGACTAAAAAGGAAACGAAAATATTCACCCAATCTCTCACAATCTCTCAGAATATATACACACTAACTACCATATATACATATATACACAATATTCTCACACCTCCTCTCAAACTCAAGGTGTTTTAGCAGAAAACACTGAGAATTTGCCAAGAAAAAATTGAAATTGGGCAGTAGTGTGAGTCTTGGTAAAGAAGTCAGCAAGTTGCAGAGCCGAAAAGGCGAAAGGAAGCAAGATAGAGTCAGACTGCAGATGCTGACGAACAAAGTGACAATCAATCTCAATGTGCTTGGTCTGCTTATAGAAGACAGTGTTATGTGCAATCTGAATAGCACTACGGTTGTCACAATAGAGGGAGGGCGGAGAAGACTGAGGGATGCCCAAGTCAGAGAGAAGACAACGAAGCCAGACAACTTCAACAGTAGCATGAGCCATACCACGATACTCAGTTTCGACAATAGAGCGAGCAACAATAGTTTGTTTTTTGCTTTTCCAAGAGCTCAAGGAATTGCCAAAAAACATACAGAAACCAGATGTGGACTTATAATCAGTAACATCACCAGCCTAATCAGAATCAGCAAGTCTAGAGAGGAAGTAGAGGACAATAGTAAATCTTGAAATATAGTACCTCGGAGATAGCGAAGAATCTGAACCAATGCAGCCCAATGTGTGGAGCAAGGAGCAGAAACAAACTGGCTAACCACATGAACAGCATAGGCAAGATCAGGACGAGTAATCGTCAGATAGACTACGTAACCCATGAGCTCTCGATATAAAGTAGGATCATCCAAAAGAACACCATTAGTAGTGTTGAGCTTTACATTAAGCTCAATGGGGGTATCAGAAATCTTAGTGTCAGTAAGATCGACGGCACGATGAATAACCTCATTGGCATACTTGGCCTGAGATAGAAAGTAGCCCTTGGGAGAAGAAGTTACTTCAATACCAAGAAAATACCGCAATGAGCCCGTACCTTTGATTTCAAAAGTGCAGAAAAGATGTTGTTTGACCTTAGATATAGCAGAAGAGTCAGAACCAGTGATAATCATATCATCCACATACAGTAATAACACAACAAATCCAACAGAGGTGTGGAGAAGAAATAAAGCAGAGTCCTGGGCACAAGGATGAAACCCAAGTTAAGTAACAGCAGTCTGAAAGCAATCATACCAAGCATGAGGAGACTGCTTCAGACTACATAGAGCACGCCAAAGGCGACAAACCTATCCAGAGGAATGGTGAAGGTTAGGGAGAGGATGCATGTAAACCTCCTCAGTGAGATGACCATTAAGAAAAACATTCTTAACATACATCTGATAAAGAGTCCAAGAACGAACAGCAGTGACAGAGATCAATGTACGGACAGTAGTCATCTTGGCAACAGGAGCAAAGGTCTCCTCATAATCAATACTATACTCCTGTGAGAAACCTTTGGCAACCAGACGAGCTTTGTAGCGCTCAAGAGAACCATCAGAATGAGTCTTAACTTTGTAGACCTATTTGCAACCAATCAGATTTTTACCAGCAGGCAAAGGAACCAGCTTCCAAGTATTAGTTTTCTGTAAAGCAGACAATTCATCCTTCATACCTTGAACTCAATGAGGATCCTGATAGGTCTCCTTGTAAGACTGAGGTTCTGAAAAAGAGTGAATAGCAGACAAAAAAGTACGATAAGAAGCAGAAAAACATGTATTAAACCAACCCAACCTGTTTGGAGGATGACGCGCTCGAGTAGGATATTGGTGTGCAGTAGGATCAGAGTTGTCAGAAGTAGGAGGATCAGCAGCAGGGGCAGAGACAACCAGTGGAAGAGGAGCCTTGCAACGAGAATAAACTAACAACGAAGGGGGAGAAGAAACCGAAGGAGGAGAAGCAGCCAAAGGTGAAGCAGGAGGAGAAGATGTAACAAGCCTAGGAGGAATTGTGGAGATGTACTCATCAGACGGGACCTTAGAAGGAAACAGATCAATATGAACCAAATCCACTTTGGAAACTGGGGCGGTGAGAGGAGGAAGCTAAAAGTAAGGGAGTCTCTCGAGAAAGGTAATATGGTGGGAGACATAAAGGCGATGGGAAACAGGGTTATAACAGAGATGACCTTTTTGAGTTAGATTATAATCCAAAAAGACACATAGGACAAGCCGTACACTAAGTTTGGTCCTATCTTTACGTGGTAAAAGCACAAAACAAGCAGACCCAAACACACGAAGGAGGGAATAATTAGGAAGTTGAGAAAACAAAGCCTCATAAGGAGACCAACCAGAAAGAAGGGGGGTAGGCATACGGTTGAGAAGAAAAGCAGCAGTAAGAACTGCTTCACCCCAAAATGGAGCCAGAACAGAGGCAGAGAGAAGGAGAGACCTAGCTGTCTCAAGAAGATGATGGTGTTTATCAGCTCGACCATTTTGGACAGGTGTATCAGTACAAGAAGTTTGGTGAATGGTACCCAATTTGGTTAAATATTCACAAAATTCAGTTTAAAGTATTCCCCGCCCAAGTCAGACCGCAACAATTTAATAGTAGATCCAAACTGTGTAGTGACCATAGACTGGAAAGTACGGTATATCTAGTAGAAGTCAGACTGTCATAAGATAAACCCAAGTGTAACGGGTGCAGTCATCAACAAATAACACATAGTATGCAGAACCTCTTTTGGTGAGAACAGGAGAAGGGCCCCAAACATCAGTATGAATTAAAGAAAATGGTGTATCAGATATAGAAGTATTTTTATGAAAAGGTAAGGCTGTCATTTTGGCAAGTTTACACTCCCGACATTCAGTAAGTTCACTAGGAGAAACTTTACCTAATATTTTTTTTTTTTGAACGGCAAAACTTTACACAATACACTAGACTGAGCTAAAGACCGTAAACGATCAGCAAACAAATGCCTTAATCTAGAATGCCAGAAGTAGAAAAGACTAGACAGAGAATCTAACTGAAAAGAGGAAAAGACAGTCAGAGAGGTTGCCATAAGCAGATGCAAGCTCTCCACTATATAGATGTCTCCAACTCTATGGCCAGTCCCAATTTGCTGCTTCGACATCCGATCTTGCACAGAATAGATAGAAGAAGAAAAGATAACACTAAAACCAGAGACATCAAGCTGACTGATAGATAATAAACTGACAGATAACTGAGAAACATAAATGACAGATGGAATAGAGACAACGGACATAGCAGACGGTAGGACAGATCCAACAGATATAACAGACATACCAAATCCATTAGCAGTATTGACAATAATAGGAAATGGAGGAGTACAATTTTGAAGTAAGGAGAGATGGAGAGTCATATGATGAGAGGCACCAGAGTCAAAAATCCAGATAGATGAAGAAATGCTTGAAGAAGACCCAAGCAAACCTGAATGAAGAGAGAAAACAATGAAGGCAGACGGGGATGACTGGGAGGTAGACAATATATGCTGAAGGTGACTAATCTAAGCACTCAAGGAAGCTAGGTCAGGATCAGAAGCTGGAACAGATGCAGTAAAACTGGCGGGAGGCTGAAACATACATCCCTTCTTGAGACAAAGATACTTTCAATGACCCCTCTGATGACAGAAGTCATACTCATCAAAATCCAAAGACATCGTAATAACTAGAGAGGTGAGGGATTCGAGTGTAATAAACCAAGAATTGATGAGTCAAAACATATAATAATCCTAAACAACCAGAACCAAATCACCAAAATATGATACACACACTGGTACTGATGTGGTCAACGTGAAACAAGGACAAAACCTGGTGGACTAAGATCAGAGAACCAATGCAAATAAAGAGAGCTTTGTGAGCAGTGACGAGACGAGACCAAAGACAAAGAGAGAGAGAGCTTCATCAACCAACAACGAAGCAGAGAGCTTTACTGGACACGTAATCCTGTGAGATTGCGAACAACAGAGACAGAGACTGAGACCCTAAAGTTGAACCCAGATCATGTCACGGCTTCATTGAGGCAGAGACAGATCAGAGAGTCAGAGACTCGTGATCGCGATCAGACCTAGAGAGAGGGAGTCGCGATCGAAATTTGAACCAGAAAAAGAGATGCAAGCTTCAGACGAGTTTGACGAACCAAAAATCCCACCTATGCAGTTCGATTATGAACCACGTGAGCCGATGATGCTGACCAGATGAACCAGAACTTCGAACCACACGAAACAAGGGAGAGAAAGCTTCAACTGACCAGGATAATCGTGAATCGAGAGAGGATAATCGTGAATCGAGAGAGAGAGAGAGAGAGAGAGACAGAGAACTCAATCAATTCGTGATTCAGAAACCAGAAGAAGAATTCATGAATCAAGCGGCTAGGGTTACGAACATAGCTCTGATACCATGTAAGTTTCTGAATAAACTTGTATATTCAATTGTATCAAAATACAAAGGATACATCAGATTATATAGTACTCCTAACCGTAAGACTAAAAAGAAAACGAAAATATTCACTCAATCTCTCACAATCTCTCAAAATATATACACACTACACTACCATATATACATATATACATAATATTCTCACACTAATATGTATGGCCAAGATTATTTTATGTGATTTGTTTTGTGTCCATAGTCTTCTTGTTATGATCAATTCAATTATGAGTTAGACACTAAACTGAACTAACTCAGCTCATGTGCATTCATTGGCTTAATGTTGCCCCATCTGGTCTGAAATTGTGGCTCTGCTACTGTTCATGTGTACATAAAAGGAGAAGGGTTTGATGCAACAAGGAGAGACGTGGTGTAGGATGATGACTTGAGAGATGCTGAAAAAAAAGAAAATGATGACTTGAAAGATATAAGCATGGGCTTAAAGCTGTTTGGCAATAGAAGATTCAAGTAGCACATCTCAATATGTGAAAAACTTTGTTGAGTTTGTATTTGAATGAGTCACTGGATGATAGAAAAAATGTATATCTAGTTTTTTCTCATCTCAATTATTAAGTAGCATGCTTGCCAATTCCTTCACATATCATGCTTTTCCGGTCTCTTCTTCTTTTGTAATGAAATATGTGATTGAACTGAAAACTATACAGTAAATTTGGCCAATTTAGTAAAATTAGTAGAATTAACAGACAAAAAAAAAGCACAGATTTGTGAACATCCTCTCTCTCTCTCTCTCTCTCTCTCTCTGACATTGGATGTGTGCCTCTCCCAGCACTTGTGCATCTGTGTTTGATACAGGATCTGAAGATGTGTTTTCTACTGATCTCTGCAATGGTTTTTTCTTTTTCATTTTTTCTTTGGGGTCCTTTTTTAATATTTTCAGAAGCCAAGAGAACCACCCAAGGTCCATTGCGAAATGGAAATGGAGATAGACAGAATCAGCCACTTACCAGGGCATATTATAGACAAAATTTTGTCACAATTGTCACTTAGAGATGCAGTGAGGACAAGTGGCTTGTCCAGCAAGTGGAGGTACAAATGGATTACCCTCCCACATCTCATTTTTGATAATCAGTCTGTCTTGGTTTCTTCACAAGATCAAACATTCATAAACAATAAGCTTGTGAACATTGTGGATCATGTCCTCTTACTTCATACTGGCCCAATACACAAGTTCAAGCTTTCTCACAGGGATCTTCAAGGTGTCAGTGACATTGATCGATGGATTCTTTACCTATCAAGAGGCTCTGTCAGAGAATTTATACTTGAAATATGGAAGGGACATCGCTACAAGCTACCTTCTTCTGTATATTCTTTTCAAAAGTTGATTCATTTAGAACTGTTTAACTGTCTAGTAAAACCCAAGCCAACATTCAATGGCTTTAGGAGCTTGAAGAGCCTTGATCTTCAGCACATTACCATGGACCAAGATGTGTTTGAGCACCTGATATCTAGCTGCCCTACGCTCGAGCGACTGACATTGATGAACTTCGATGGTTTTTCCCTCCTTAACATTCATGCTCCAAATCTCCAGTTCTTTGATATTGGAGGTGTTTTTGATGATGTCAGTTTTGAGAATACCTCCAGTCTAGCTATCGTTTCCATTGGTTTGTATGTAAATATTGGATATGACCAAAATCTGACTCTGGGCAATACTGGAAATTTGATCAAGTTTTTTGCTCATCTGCCTTCTATTCAGAGGCTAGAGGTACAGAGTTATTTTCTGAAGGTAATAATTCTATTCTTGTTATTGCTTGGGTATTTGACTGTCTTGTGCAGATCAATGAGTCCATCGGGTTTCCTAGAGGTTTCACTTTCAGCTTTTGTTGTTTTTATCTGAGTCATCTTTATTTATTTATTTCCCCAACAATGCTTTTGAGATACAACCATTCTAAGATTTCTGTGTTTGCCTCATTTTTATGTAATCCCATAATTATTCAACCAATTATGTATACTTAATGACTGGTTCAATTTTAAGGTGACATATTATAATTGTATTCATCTCATTTTATTTTATTTTTTATGAATTTGTTTCCAGTATTTGGCTGTTGGGAAGATACCAGGAAGGTTGCCTATTCCGTGCATAGAGTTGAATTACCTTTCTATACGCATAAATTTCAATGATATGGAGGAGAGTTTGGCGGCTCTTTGCCTTCTTAGGAGTTCTCCTAACCTACAAGAGCTTGAGATATTGGTGAGCCTTTTCCCATTACATCTTTACCTAAACTTCATGTGAATTTACACTGATTCTTTTGAGTTGCATGCCATGTTGATATTCCATAATTACATCTTTTCCCTATTAAGAAGCTGTTTTTGTGATAAACTTCTTGATTCAGGAGCTCGATTTACGACCTATCTGGATATCTATATTGTTAGATAATCTAGCTCATTTTATTTTATTTTATATTAAGGGTGCTATTGTCATATTATCCCCCTTCTGTGTGTGTGTGTGTGTAACCCTAGCCCCAATTTCACATACTTTACACTTCTAACTTGGTATCAAAGAGCAGATAATAAATCTTGTATTTGAATCTCACCACCTTCACAATAATTAAAATACTTGCACGTATTTAGTCCACTTATGAAGAAGAGTCTACCACACGTGAGGGGGCTTGTTGAGAATATAAATAATAAGGCTGCCCACTCTCTAAGAGCTTAAACTTTAAGATGAGTTAGTGGTCAATAATTTACTAGGGTGTTAGAACGTCATTGTATTTTACACTTTATATCATGAACTTTGTGTAGGGTCGGCCAGAGGAACAGACCATTCCTGTAAGAGTAAAAAGTATTGGGGAAGAAGATTATGACAACTGCCCACTTAACCAGTTGCGGCTTGTTAAGATAGCTGGTATTATTGGTGTGAGATGCGAACTGGATTTCATCAACTTTCTACTTGCAAATTCACCTGTGCTTGAAAAGATGACTGTTAAGCCTACTTCAAATGATAGGGGGTGGGAGTTGCTGAAGGAATTGGTGCGATTCCGGCGAGCCTCAGTACAGGCAGAAATTATTTACTTGGATCCATAACTCATTGCCTTTTGTGAGCAGATACTTGGGCACCGATAATTATCAAAAGGTGGTATGTTGCAAACTTCTCTTAGGTCTGTGAATCTGTACATTGTGGTTATGTTTTGCATCAGCTATGTATATCTATCTACAGTGGGGAATATGCTACACTGACAATTTTTGTTAATATTTTTTTGTGGAAACTGTAAATTTAGCAAATGCTTTACGCTTCGTTTGTTTTGACGGAAAACTTATCAACGGGAAACGTTTTCCCACGTTTGGTTGTGACTTTACAAGTTGTGGGGGAGAGGGGGGGTGTTGCGCCGGTGGTGGCGGGGTCAAGGTGGAGTTGGAGGTGGTCGAGTGGTGGTGGCACGACAATAGTTGTGGGGTGGGTGGTGGCAATAGTGATGTTGGCTATGATAGTGTGGTGCCATTAGTAAGATTTCAGTTTTGGAAATATTTTTTGCCTTTTAAAAATGTAAAACATTTTTTTATCCAAATATATACTATGCTTGGTTACCACTTTCCAAAAATACTTTTCAGAAAATTTTATTTTTTTATTTTCCGTGTTTTTTTGTTTTTACTGAATTTTTTTAATATTTTGAACAATTTTTTTAATTTTTAGACATACCTAACATAAATATACCTAAAAAGTAAAAAAAATTTGAAAAAAATCTTTTAAAAATTCACTAAATACCAAAAATACAAAAAAAATATGAGAATTCAGTATAGTTTTTGTATTTTTATGTATTTATTAATTTTCAAAAATATTTTTTCACAAAATTTTTACTTTTTAGATATATCTAAGTAAGGTGCATCTAAAAAAGTAAAAAAAATATTTAAAATTTTAAAAATATTCACTAAAAATAAAAAAACACGAAAATCAAAAAACTTAGTTTTCAAAAAATTTAATTCAAAAAATTCAAACTAAACACAATGATTGGTTTTTCGTTAACCATGAAAAAGTGTTTTTAAGTTTTGTTTATTATTATACCAAAAATCGGAAAATGTCAAAACAAACTAAGCGTTAGTGCTAATTTGATGAAGGAATTGCTTTTCTCCTAGTTGTTAATTGATCTCTTTTCACAAAAATGCTTTAGAGCTCTAATATAGGAGCTCTAATAGCTCTAATGAGAAGGTAGGTCCCATCTTGATGTGATGTTTGTGCCTTGTTTTGTTTTTTTGTTTTTTGTTTTTTTCCTTTGACACATCATTAGAGCTCAAATTAGAGCTCTATATTTAGAGCTCTCTATCATTTCCCTCTCTTTTCATTGGTTAGGTGTTGAGCTAGCTAGCTCTAATTCAGAATAAAGCATATTGCACTTGCCCGAACTGGCCCGAAACAGAGGGGAAGACTCACCTCATCAAACCCAACCAAGTCATCAAGCCACATCACCAAAATTTTAATTATTATAAGTAAATCCTGTAAATTGAATAAATACAAAACATATTGAAATATTAAAAAAAATTATATTTTTATAAAATCTTTTAAGTAGTAATTATATGCGTTTAATTGTAGTACTTAGAGTTGAAATAAATAATAATGTAAATTATGTTTCTGAATTAGAAAGTGAGTTAAGTAAATTAAATTCTCTTTTGACTATTGTCTCCGGACAATCACTAATAAATTATAGTTAGAGGATTGCTAGTATTAAAGATAAAATATTATTAGAAAAAGCAAGCTTAGACTACCAATGAAAGGTTTTGCAAGAGTTAATATTAAATTAAATCCATTACCTAAATCCAAAAATCCGTATTACTTAAAATTCGCATTACCTAAATTTGGAAATGCACAATTGAAGTTGGTATCAGAGCTCGGTTTCTCGACCTTGCTAATAACATTTGCATAAGTATCAAATATAGTGAAGAAATAGAATCTGATAGCCTAAATAATAGTACTTCTTTACAAATAATAATAGAACAAAACAATATCTTAATTAGGCTATTAAAAGAAATCAGCGAAAAGCTTAGAAATAATCAATTAGAAATAATAAATGAAATTAGACATTTAATATAAGATCTAGAAAAACAAGTAGCTATTTTCAAAGAAAAACAAAAAAATTTAAAAATATATCCTTTTCTATATAAAGGAAATAATCCAGAAGAACCATTGGAATTAGTTTCACTTGAAAACCAAAAAAATAGTGGAGTTTAGTAAATATAAGCTAGAATAGTTAAAAGAAATGGCTGAAAAAGAAAATGATAGTGAAATAAAATATAAAATAATATTAGAAATAGCTGAACAAATAGATAAAGTAAATGAAGAAATAATAGAAGAAATAAATAATAGTATAATTGCACTAGAATAAGATGTATATAAACAATTAGGATTAATCAGTTTGGGAGAAATAGAACACATTTCCCTTGAAGACTTAGAATAAATAATGGGAAATAGTAACGCAGAAAAAGAAAATAATGTTCTATAAGATTTCGAAGAAACTAATAATGTTAATGATACTAAAATGACAGTGGTAAAACAAGAAAGAAACGGTTCTTCCACCATAACTAATCCAAATCATCTAGATTTAAAAATTTTTACCAAATAATAACTGGAAAATGATTCTAGAAATTATGGCTATAAGAGAAGAAGGGGACACTACAGTTGTCAAAATAGAGTATCATATGCTAGGCAAACACCTAATTATGCAAACTTTATCCCTAGAAATGAAGTATTTTTAAGAGAAGTACCAATAAAACCAATAAGCAATATAGAACATATATTAGGTATCGATTGTGTTACAAATACAAGTGAAGTAATAAAACAATCATGTCTTGAATATTCATAGTAGCTGTTGGAGTGTACAAAGATTTCTAAATTATATTGAACATAGTTTCGTGGGCATAGTAACAAGTTGGTATGATAATCTGAGAGAAAGTGACAAAAAAAAATTAATCACAAAAACTACTCCAAAATGTATGTTACATTTATGTGTAAAATATATCAAAGACAGATTTGTAGGAAAATAGTGGGATGAAAATAAAAGAAAAAGACAATGAGCCAGAAAATTAAATAATATAAAAATATATAATATGGAATATATAGAAAATTATAGATATGAATATTACTCTTACTATTATCAAACAGGTAGAAATGAAATTCATTTAATTATGTTTTTTCATAAATTATCATATCCTATAAATGTTAATATAGAAAAAAAAATATATGAAAAATGGTTAAAAGAATTAGGAGATGTCACAAGCGATACATTAGGTTATAGAACTAGATACCTAAGAGATGAAACAGAGAAGAAAAATAAAAAATAATATTTACATTGTTGGCAAACATCTAATGCATAGGGGTGTTAACCTTCAAGAAAAAAATTATATAATAAGAAAAAGAAAAACGTTTTATAAAAGAAAAAGTTGTAATAAATAAAGAGGAGAAAAATATAAAAGAAAATATTATAAAAATCATTATAATTTCAATAAAATAAGAAGATTTTTTAGAAAAAATAATTATTGTCCAGAGGAAAAAAAAAAGACTTATAATGTTGGGTATGTGAAGAAATAGATCACTTTGCCAATCAATGTAGAAATAAAAAGAACAATAAAATAATAGAAGCTTTAAGAAGTTTGAATTATATAAAATTAGAACAAGAAGAAGCATTAGATTTGGCTCTAGAAAATAATAAAGGAATAATAGAATTAAGGGAAATTTGGTCAAAACCCCTTCATTGGGCCCTTCTTTGGTGAAAAGGACCGCCCATAAATTTTTCCTTCATAAATCCCCTTATTTAGAGACCCAAGCTTGATGGAGAACACACAAATATTTTTCTATTTTTAGGGGACAATCTTTCCCTTCCTCATATACGTAAAAGATTTGAGTAAGACCTTCGCCTTCCCAGGTAAAAAAAAAAAAAAAAAAAAAGAGAAGCATGAACTGCAGACAAGGCAACACGCTTCATCATCTCCATCTCTTGGAATCAGAATTGGTAAAGCTCTCGAACAACGAGAAAATTGAGAGAGAATTGAGATTGAGAGATAGAGAAATTTCCAAAGCTCTATTTTCTCCGTTGTATAATATATCTATATTCACTTATGACTGAGCGGTCTTACTCGGTTTGGTACCTTTTTATAGGCGAACCAGAATTAAATTCTGCCATCACTTGTTGGCCTTTTTGCTAATAGCCAAACATTGTTTTTTACATTATTGAAGGATTGGGCCTATTTATCACGACCCAACCCCGCTCCAAGGGATTAGAGAGGTGACTGGCCAGTAATCCGAGATTACCAAAGGCCTATTTAGGCGTGGGTTCTGGAAATCGAAAAGTTGTTTGAAGTTTTCCCGTGCTCGGAGGCACAAAAAGTTTAGTTAATTAAGGAGGTGGTTGTCATACTATTGATCGCAAATTTGATGGGATTGGACGGAATTTGTTGAGTTGTTGTTGTTTGGCAAGTTTTTTTTTCCAGGTATGTTGAATTGTTGTTGATCTCGTAGTGAAGGAACTAATAGAGCTTCTTTGAGTTCATACTCTGTTTTTTCATTCCTCAAGTCTCGAAAAGTTGTAAATAGTTTGCCCACATTGCATCGTTGCACTCCTAGGTAGATTCTGCCAACATATTTTAATCATTCGGATCATCTTCTTCTCTTAAGTTCTTTTCTCTTTTGTCTAGAGCCCTCATTGGTTTTGTTCTAATAGTAGCGTTTTGAATCGATTTTTTTTTTCTTCAATTAATGATATAAGGGGGTGCCTCAATCTTCTGTGGTTCTTGAAAATTTTGAACTACTCGTCGTATGATGTTGCTACTCTAGCGTGAAGGCCCATGTTGCAAATTCTTGATGTGATGTTCCATGTACTTGTTAAGAATTAATCTTGTTGCTCTTGTCATTGTGTTTTGTTGAATCATGGAAACTAGTATATCCCCCTTAAACAATAAAAGCGTTCCATTAGATTGGTAAGTTGTCTCCTTCTATTGGTAACTATTGATAACCACTTGATGTACGAATAATGAATCTATTTCTAAAATAAGGTTGGTGTCGGGTATCTTCATGCTTTCAGGATTGAGAATCAACGCATAAAATTTTCCAAAGGGTTCGCATATAAGTTCTAATGACCTAACATACTGTAGATACGAATGAATGCGATGAATAAAACATTTACTCAAGAGTTGTGAAATACGAGTATTAAGACAACGAGATTTGATCAATAAAAAAGAATTCACACCATCCATTCTCGGATTACAAAAATCATCCAAAAAGTTCAAAATACTATTCTAATTATATTTTTCCTAGGTAAGTTGTGGCTCGTATTGTTGTTCTTCGAGTTTGTACACAGTCAATTGCTTACTCTTAGAGTATTGCTTAGTGAGGTCTTTGTTTTCTTTTCCCTGCATTGCAAAACTCTTCTGGTTGGTCTCTGATTATTGTTGAGTCTAAGCCTCTTGTTGCCTCCTTCCTTGATATCTTGATTGAGCGAGTTGGGGACATTCATTCTTAAAATGTCCTGGTTGGCCACACTCATAACATTTTCCCATCCAGTAATTAATCATATTCTTTCATTCTTGCCCACGTTGTTGTCGTCGCTGTGTTTCTTTTACATAAGGTGATAACATGGCCTGGTGATTGACTGTTCCAGATTTTCGATTGCTTTCCCTCTTGAATTTTTGTCACTCGGCAATTCCCGGCTTAGTTATCCACGGTTGTTGTCCACCAATAGTATGCGCATTTGCACACAAGTGCTTTTTTTGATTTCTGACCAGTTGAGGACATTCGAACCTCCTGTGTCCCATGTATTGGCAATGATAGCACTAGATCGGTCATGCTGGTCTCTCCTGAAAGTTTCATTCAGAGTTGTGGTTGTTGGGGTTATTGTGGGTTCCCTAGAATACGGCTTGTGTACTAAATGCCTTCAGCTATTCCTTTCCAGTCCTACATTGACTTGATTCTTCTCTTTCCTCAAGCTCCAAATCATGTTGGAATCTACCTCCTTTCATTCTGAATCCAATGTTGTGCCAACTACATTCGCAAAAATTGAAAGTCTTCATAGCAAAACTTTTCCTCTAATTATAGGGTTTAAACTCCATTCAAACTTTCGCGCCTTCTCTTCGTTGTCTGCCACATATCGGGTTGCATACCGGGCCAACTCTTCGAACTTCGCCACCTTCGGGCCTGACACTCCTAAAAATTTGAGAGGTCTCTGCTTCCTAAACTCCGAGAAGAGGCGAGTTTTATTGTTTTGTTAGTTTCCTCTTAAATATTCCAACTCCTTCAAAATTTGATTCCCAATGTGGTACGAGATTTTGGCTGCAAGTACTGGTCTGTTCTTAAGGTTTTGATTTCCTAGTACTGCATTCCTATTGCGTTGTTATTCATGGGCTCATGTATTGTTGCTTGTTTTGGTGTAGCCGTTGGCTCGAGTGTGGTCTACCATTCTGTTCATAGTACAGGGTGAGGCATAAGTTGGGGTCTAATTACAGAGGCAATTATTTTAAGAGTAATCAACTAATCTTAAGGTTAGGGTTTAATTATCTTAAGGTGTTTGAAGCAATAAGATCAAGTAATAAATAACAGATATAGGAAAACACACAACACAACTTCATATAGATATATATAAGCAAAATACTAATTACAAGAGTTTCAAGACTGGATTAATGGAAAGAATACAAAGTTAAGATGAAAGAATGCAAATCGGATATAGCATCAATTTAACACAAGGATTATCTGAAATATGGATGAACGATATAATGGAATGGATGATATCATGGTTCTAGACTTTGATGTGGTTAATGTTATAGAGGTAATAACTAAGCTAGATATTTAACTTGAAACTGTGTTGGCCATCCGCATTTCAAACTGAATATCCAAGATTCGTCACTGAGTTAAAAAAACTACAGTTTACAAGAATCCTTGTAATAGATAGAGTAATCAAGGCTTAAAGGTTGTTAATTTAACAGATAGTATAATATAAAATAGGACTAGATGGTAACGACTTAATCTGAAAACGAATAACATCGAACAAAGGATACAAATATGAGATGAGGATATGACGATCGATAGAAAACTTGTAGAAATAACAGTACCCCTATTTCTATATTGTATCTAATGTGCAATAGGATGTCTCGTTTAGAATTAATACTACTTCCCTACATAGGTGATTGTCAAATCGTTTGGAGTCGAAACGCGCGACGATTTAGAATGTGAAACATGTTCTCACGAGTCGATGTTGTTGTGCTCAGAATCCAAAGAGATGTCCTAAGGTAGTTCAAGAAATTTTTGATTTTTCAATATCTTTTAGTTAATAAGGTAGATAGTGTTATAATAATATAATATAGTCGGGCAAGGTAGTTTCTAACTGCAAGCTGAAACGTGTGGGTAAGGATTGAACTTAAGCTCTGATACCAAGTCGTGACGCCCAAAAAATCAGAAAAATCAAAGAATATATTAACAAATAAATACAGGGTTTTTTTTTTGAAGGTTATGAGTGTAGGAAACGTCACTAACAAGTCCTTTGATCAATATCCAAGTAAGATCTCAAGAAAGATCGAAGGAGCAAATTAGCCCTCGTTCTAAGTCCAATCTCCTTGTAAACACAAATTTCATATCCTGCAATTAAGACACAAAATAAATGAACAAATAACTAACTTTATTTGGTTATAACAAAGGGGTACAATTCTTTGTGGCTTGCTTTATTACAAAAGAACAAATCCTCTAATTCGATCTCCGAAATTGGCATAATTCAACAGCTGTAAAAGCTTGTTGTTGAACTAGACAAGTTGATGAATTTCTTCAAGTCTTCGAATGGAGAAACTTGGAGAAGAAAGGCTTGATCGAGGGCTTGAACGACTTGATCTCAAACAAGTCTTGAAATGATCTCTTTGAAAAGAGAGACCAAATTTGTATTTGTAACTTGAAAGGATTGGAGTGCTTGATAATCATTTCTTTTAAGTTTGAGGAACTTTTAGAGAGAATTTTAAGAAGAGAATTTGGCAGCGTCTCGGGATTGTTTAGGAGCTTGCAAGACCATTAGCCAAAAAAATGTGTTCTCCCCCTCATGGTGAGAGCCTCTATTTATAAGCTTAGGAGAGAAGGATCAATTTTGGAAACTCCAAAATTGATTTGAATTTCCAAGAAAATAACAATTTATTTTTTAATTTATGGACATGATTTGCATTTAAATTTAAATTTAAATTTGAATTATTCCACTAAATTTTGATGAAATATTTTCATGGCCCTACACATTTGGGTTAACCCAATTGTCAAAATAGGTTCACTTTTCTTTTGGAGAGGCCCATAATTTAAGATGGGTTAAGATCCATAATTTTAGTAGGAACCACATCCATTTGAAAATTTGACCATCTTAATTTTGATTAATCAAGAATATTTATTTGTCTTGATTAATCAGGTGGTGATCAAGACACGTAAAAATTTGAGTGTCTACTCTCCTTAGATAGCAAAGTTACCTTTTTGATAGATGTTAATAAGGTATTAACACAAGATCTACATGAGTTGATGAAATATAATGATAGGTTACAAAAGTTATATATAGATACGTAAGCAAAATAATAATTACAAGAGATATGTCTTAGTTACAACATGAGTTTTAATACTTACAATCCCAACATGGTTACAAAAAAGACTTAATAGAACTAGTATCTAATTCGTCTAGGGTAGCCATACGTCCTCAAATGCTTTAGTTTCGCCTTCGACTGACTAATAGTCTTCAATACCTGGCATGAAATGCCATGAGCTTGGAATGCCCAGTAAACGCACACACACCCCGTTCCTTTTTTCTAGTCCAATGTACAGTTGCAATTATAACAAGTAATGAATCATGATATTCAAGTAAATAAGAAAAGGGTTATAAAGTTAGATGTTAGTAATTTAGAAATCCCCTAAAGAGATTTCATCCTCCAAACTGCAAGAGTTAGACTCGGATTATTCGGTATGTTCCCTCTTTTGCTACTTTGTAAACCTTACCTTGGATGCCTATAATGATTACATACCACGTAGTGCCAGCCGAGGACCTCAAAAGAAACAATAAAAATAAGAGTCTTGCCTATAACCTCCTCTAACCTTATCACACTGAAACCACCTAGGGTTTGAATACAATCGATCCATTCAAGGATTCTGAAATAACCACTTGCGCAAGACTTTACTTTCAATAGGAAACACGTCTTGCCAACCAATTCAAATGCAAAACCAGCATTATCTTATAAAGTTAGTCAAGTGATCGAAAACCTATTTACCACCCTAATAAAGTTTTTCGTTGAGTTAGATGTTTTAAGTTAATGTTAGAACAAGCTATTGAAATAATAAATTCTACACAACTATGAACATTCCACAGGATAAATTTAATGGAATATAACTACAAACATATGTAGATGTCATACTAAGATTTAAACAAACAATAAGGAGCATAATCAAGTAACTAAGAACGTGAAACCATTAACAAAAATAAATTTCCAGATTCAGTTTACTTTAAAAATCACTGTCAAAGTAGCATTTTTAGATTTTTTCCGAACTTGGCCTCCCAGGGGTTTATAGAAAATTTTGTCTAGTTTCAAAATCAATTTACGAAAGTGGGATAGCTTTTCTAGATTTTTAGTTATTAAAAAAATACTCCAGCTCTGTCCAAATTCGTCGACTATTATGAAATTTGATTTTTCTCTCAAACCTTATTCATTTTCAATGAAACCAATTTTTCTTGAAAGTTAACACTTTAAGGAAGGTTTTGATGTAAAATTGAGCTCAAGAGAATTTTTCTGCATTTTTCTAAATTTTTTTAAAGTGGGCTGAAAATACTAGTCATTTGTGCACAAAATTTGAAATAGAAAAAGTAGTAGAAAAATGGGGCAACCATGGGTAATTTTGCACTTATCTTATGATGAAAACATGCTACATAATATATTAATAACTCAGATTTGTAGTTTGAAAGTGTGCCTTTAAAAATAATGTAAGATATAGATAGAAATAGGTGACTTTGCTCCAACAAAGAGATCATACAAGCAAAGAAGAAATCAAGGCTCAATTTCTTTTTGTAACACCCCAAAACAATAACCAAAAACTAACTCATAGTATTCAATAGAAAAGCATAAGTTTATATTATATTAACCTTTCATTGATTCTCTTTTATCGTACAAAAGATGACATATGCATGTATACATTCATAAATTCTAGATCCTGAATCTATAGTATATGATATATGGTAATTAGGAATGGGTATTTTTCGGGGAATAACCGCTCGATTCGGGGTCGGGGGATCGGGTCCCCGTCGGGCCGGGTTCCAATTGCCATCCCTAATGGTAATCACATGAAACAAAAGAAGGTACAAACAAGTTAATACCATAATGGCTACATTTTTCCAAGTCGATGCTTGGGTACAACAAAAATGAGTAAAACTCAATATATATTAAGCCCAAGGCTTGTACAATAACATTTACATAAAAGAACAAAAAGAAGCTCTCGGTTCCAAGGTCCTCCCAAGATACTTCCTTCGTAGAGGCATATCATTAGCACCTGAAAGTTGTTTTCCACATAAGGTGAGCTAAAGCCCAATAGAGATACTTGAACACAATGCATGAAGCTTAACAAAGTCATATGGTGAATGCATATGCATGCAATTTACCAAAATGTTACACTTCCTTTTTCAAAACAATGCAATGCCATAGTTATATATCAATTCATAAAACAATACTTTTTAAATCAGAAAATAGGGTAGTGGACACATAACACTGAAAATCTCTAGGTACGTGTCTGCTAATAGGCTATAAAAACATTACCAAAGTTATTTTACCTGTACTAACTAGAAAGATCGACACCTAACCATACGGGTTTCTAGACTTTCACCAAGGACACACAAGCCATCATAATAAAACCACAACCGCATCCTCTAACTAGATTCACCAAGGTATCTACCATTTTTTCTAAAACAATAGTGCATTTTCAATGAATATAAATGTAAAACAATGTTCAATGCAAGATGCATGAGTAAATGGTTTTCAATTAACCTATCCCTCATGCAATTTTTACAACAATCAAAGCTATCTTTCACCGATAGTCCAAAACAGATATCTCTATCCAAAAGATAAATTTCAAAACAACTATAATATCATAACCTCAATATAGGAGTGATATTACATATTTAACTCCACTCTCATCATCAACAAATATATTCATATTCTCATTTCAAAATTCAACATCTTTCCCTTTATTCTTAGTTTGAAAATCTCATTAATTTCCAACAAAAGACCATTTCCCTCAACAATACATTTTAAGGAGAAGTCTCCAAGATTTCTACACAAATTACAAGATAATCATCTCCACAACATCTCTCATGAATCCATTTGAAAACCTCTCATTTATATTACCCAAATCAAACCCCTAAATCAAAGCTCTCAACTCCAAATCACTATCCTTTTTAAAATACACATAACGTAGCTAAGAATTATACTGAAAGGTTAAAGAAATCCCTACCTCAAGACTAGAAGAGTTGATGGACAAGACTCAAGATTTGACTAAGTCGAAACTCGAACTTTCTCTGATCAAAACGACCACCTCTACGCATTCTATACTTTTCTCCAAAGTACTATGGTGGAGAAATCAATAGATTAGGGTGTATTTGAGGTTTTAAGAAAGAACTAGAGAGAGAAAGTGAAGAAACTAGGTTTTAGGGTGTTTTAGAGAGAGAGAGATAAAAAAGTGATTGAAAATGACTTTTCTCCGATCTAATATATGTACAGATCGCTTGAGTGGCCAAACCACCGCTCGAGTATAAGACACAAGTAAGTGACACCGCTTAAGCAACCAAAACATGGCTCAAGGGCACAATGACCCCCCTCTAAAAGTTTTGTAGACTGTAGAAGACTGCTCAAGCGAAGAAAGGATCGTTTGAGGGTAGATCACCTTACTCCCAGTAGTTTTGTAGACCTGTAAATATACTGAAAGGAACCAAAGACCGCTCGAGCGAACCTTAAGAAAAACAGACATGAACTCTTTTGAAAAATGAACTTTCAACCTATTCACAACACAGCCGAATGGCTCCTAACAACACCTATTACCTTCCCAAATAGTTAGAATTGCTGATGTGGCCTCTTTTTCTCCATCTTGACCTATATCAAGAACAACGACTTTCACGTGAGTAGCTGCCTCTACAAGTGTGTGATAATCTCTATACAGAACCCCAGCAACCTTTTCCCGGATATCATTACACAACCTCATTTCAAACTCACGACAACGACGCTCCTCTGTTGCAATCAACTTTGGAACAAACCTCGACAAACTGGCAAATCACGCCTCAAATTGTGCCAAAGGAGTATCATTCTGGCGCAATTCAACAAACTATTTTCTCAATCTTTCCCAAGAGGAAGGATGAAAATACTTAGCGAAAAAGGACTTGATGAAAGCAACCTAAGTGGTGCCTTCAGAAATCCTCACAGACTTCCACCAATAACTAGCACCTCCCTTCAGTTACAAACCAGCCAAAATAACCCTCAACTCCTTGTTCTCGACTCTGAGCATATCAAGAGTCTTGGTAATTTGTTCTAACCAATTTTCTGCCTCCAACGATTTAAGCTCTCCCAAAGACTCAAGTGGATTAGAGCGGCCGAGATCCCAAGCACAGACGCAGTTGTCGCCTCAGTCTATTTTTTCTTCTTTGAACTCATATTTTGGGAAGTCCAATCAGACTCAGGCTTCTTCGAGTCAATCGTAGAATAAAGGACCACCTACTTGTTTTAGGTGTGGTTGGTTGGGCCATATTCGACGTCGTTGCCCTCTACGTAGGCAGGGCCAATTCCTGTACTCTAAGCGGGAACGGTGGTGATGTTATGGAGTGGTGGAGTTGTATTGTTTAGTTTTTGTAATGTTATGTTATTTATGGAAAGGTTTATGCCTACTGATGTTATATATGTGTATATATGTTGTTGTGAACCCAAATGGTGTGGGTATGTAATTAATCTTGAACTTGCTTGTATTGAGAAATGCTGTGGAGGTTGGAAATTCTAATTTTATTGTGTATCTATTGTTCTTTTCTTGAGTTGAGCATGTGTTGGCTTGTGAGCCTTAGGATGATTTGGAGTTGTTAGTTGAGAAGTAGAAGTTTGTATGTTGTTATGACTAGTCTTGAATGTAATGAGGATGAGTTGTATAGCACTAAGTGTGTTTAATTTGGGGTGGTGTGAAACTTTAGAATTCTTTGGAGTTGGTAGGAGCTACTTATTGGGTTGTGAAAGTGTTTTGAGGGAGTATGAGACATGTGTCTCTTACAATAAAGGTAGAGCTTGTGTTTGTGGTTTGTTGAGACTTGGTGGGTTGTGGGTGGTTGTGAATTAGTTTGTGATGCTTAAGTATTGGGTGACATTGCTAGTAATTGTATGGGATGTGTGAAAGTGATGAAAAATTATTGGCTAGATGATGTAAGTGTTCCTTGAGAAAAAGCTAGGTTTATGTTTCCGAGTAATGGGTGTAGTGTTATGGTGGTTGTCTTGGGTGTCCAGGATAATGTGATTTTCCGTTGACCATATCGGGTTTCTTTTATTTATTATTATTATTATTATTATTGTGCATGGTGTGTTTGCCATATAGGCATATGAGTGGTGGTTTATTTGGAAACACTAGTGGTGTGATCCATGTTTGAGGAACTATGTGTGATTCAAGAAATATGTGGGTTTATGTGTGGAACTCCATCTTGAAGTAAGCGGTGCAGGGTACCATGTTGGTGTGTGGGTGTCGCGTATAGAGCTTTGTTGAGTCGGTTAGTCTGTTGGTTGATATCGGAGTTTGGTTGACAAATGATCACATTGGGGATAGCTTGGAATTGAGTATGAGGGTTGTAAGGTTGTAAGTGCCTTAGAGGGGACTAGTGAGAATTGAGTCTCTTGTTTGCAAATGTGAGCTTGTGGTAACCGGGTTGGTGTTACATGTTGGAGCCTTAGTTTTAGTGGGTGCTCGGTAAAGTGTGAAATTGAGGTTCGTTTCTCTCCCAGAGGTTGGTAAAGCATGGCGCCTTGAAATAGATTCCTCTCCCTTTTGGTTTGCGCTCGGTAAAGTGTGACATTGGGGTCGTTCCCCTCCGGGTGAGGCCGGTAAAGCGTTATTGTGTTATGTGGGTTGTCGCATTTGACATCTATGCTATAAGCCGGGGAAAATGAAGTATGTATTACTCTCGGTTATAAATGTTTAGAAATATATATTTCTTGGTATATGGTTGTGGGTGTTCCTTGCCTTTGGGCCTATGGCTAGGGAAGGTAGTAGATATATTGGTGTGTAAGTTTTGTATAGTGTGTTGGAATGTAAGATCGGGTTATAACTAGTATTTGTGAACGTGTTTTCAAAACAAATGTTTAGATGAAATTCTTTTATATCAACATGGAAGGTTTAAGAGAGAAGAAAGCGTCGTGATGAAATGTTTTTAAACTAAAATGGAAGTTAGAAAGAAAAGAAGTGATTTTGCACCGTGTTGTGTTAACGAGGATGATTTTGGAAAAATGTACTTATAAAGTATATTTTGGATTTAAACTGTCACATTACTTATATTGTATGTCGTGGTGCATTCATGATCATAGTTATCTGTATGTTGCTATTGTTTAGGATCATGTTAGTATCTCTACTAGACTTTATGTTCATCCCACGTAGCTAATCATTTTCAGGTACAAGTTGAGAGGTGGTTCAAGATCGGGGATCTTCTTTAATTGTTGGCCATAGGGCCCTATATTTGTTGGCAGAACGCCATTGTTGTAAAAAGGTTAAACCATTATTTTTAATGTAAAAATGTAAGCCTACGGGCAGTTTGTTTAAATGTAATTCATGTTGCATTCAACAGATATACGAAAGAGAGGGCTTTCATTTACTTCTAGATGTAATGTATATATAGATTTTGTTTGTTATTAAGGGAATTGGATTACGCTAAGGGATGTGATAAGATTATCCGAGTAATAAAAAGTGGGGCATGACAAGAACACCATACATACACATTTGAAAACAATGTCTTAAGCATCTAATATCATGTATTTGAAGGAGAAAATAAAAATAAAAAAGAAAAATAGAGGGAGAGAGAGAGAGAGAAAGAGAATAGGTTGTCTTATGACTTACTTGTTTGCCTAAGGAAGTGGTTGTGCAAGAATTGCTTACTTTTCTTCCTCCTCCAAAATTCTCACTCTCTCTCCTTTCTCTCTCTCCTCAGCCGAAATATGTGTGTGTTTGATGTGCAAAAGTGTTGAGGATGGTGGTGTATTTATAGGAAAAAAGTGACGAAAGATCCAAAATGCCATTTGTTCCAATGGAATAGAAAAGTTTTGGATTTAGTAGGAATGAAATGGAATGAAGGGTGATTAAAAGTATTAAACATGACTTAATTATGGCTTAATCTTCATTTGGTTGAGTTGGAACTAGATTGATAGATTAGTACAAAACAAACTTCTAAGTTTTGGGGCTACTTGGCATACTTTTTCCATAAATTCTTGAACCTTGTTTCCAAAGTATACCACAAGGATCTTAAAAGGGGTGGCCAGCCATGTGCTTGGGAATTTGAGGGGATTTTTCTATTTACTTAGTGTACAAATTCTTATATAATGTAGATATTTTGTATACAAAAAGCCTCGTTTGGCAAGTGGCTTTTTTAGCCAAAAAGTCAAAAAGTTACTAAAAAAGTCAAAAAGCCAACAACTTATACAAAAAAGTCAAAGATTCCCTTTTTTCTCTACTTTTTGCACATCTTTTTGTAAAAAGCTAAAAAGTCATCCTAAACATACTAGTTTTTTTTACATCATATTTTAGCCAAAAAGCCAAAAAGTTACTAAAAAAGCATGTTCCCAAATGGTATAATTCTAATAAAGTGTGAGGGATAGGGCTCAATTTATGAATTATAATTCCTATTTTAAGTGTAGAGTTTGATTGAATTAGAGTTTGGGAAAACAATTTGGTTTGAGTCACTGCGCTCTGAATCGAAAGACAAATAATTAAACAAAATGATGAAAATCGAGACTTAGGGTTTTGAGTGATCAATCTATAATTAGAGAGTTAAATAAGTGTTAGAAATAATTACTAAGCTACCGGGGTCGATTAGGGTTTGTATGGGTTCGTCCACAAAGTGTTTTCAATTCTAGGGTTAAATTTATGAATAAATGACGAACTGAGGGCTTTCATTATAATTATTTAGAAATCAGTGCCTTAATAGGGTTTAAAAAAGTTAGGGGTCTCACACTTTTACGATAGCAACTTTGGTTAAAATAATTTACCTTTGATATAGAACATATTAATGGTAATAAAAATAGTTCAGCAAACAGTCTAACTTGAGAACTTGTAGATGACATCCACATCCATAAGACTTACATCACCAGAGAAGGAAACACTTCTAGTAGAGACTCAAGAAGTGCTGGACTTGATGACACAAGACAATGCTGATATTATTAGACAACTACAGGGAGTAAGAAAGAGTTGTTCTGTGAACGAACTCATTAGGACCACCCATTTAGTTGCCAAAGCCCTTTTAAGATTATAAGTGTTAAAGTAATTTCTTCAGCTCCCCTATGACATACAAAATAAAATAAGAAAATGTACTTTCGTTAAGCTACTTCTTAAATGATACGAGGAAGGTGTCATCCATCTAGGAACTCAGTGGTGCTATTTTAACAGAAGGACAGTTGTGTACAATTATAGAATGTTAAAAGCTTCGTTCAATCCAGACAATGTCATTAGCCCAAAAGATCCTTTGGTTCAAACGTGGAAATTAGAAATAGTCAATACATTCGACGTGTCACCTCACTCTCAGAGTACCATGTTCACTGAGATCACCAAGTTTTAACAATTCATGTTTAAGAGAATCTGTGGAGTCCATAAAGAATATCCAAGCATGGCACCCATTACGTTTATAACTGCACAAACGGAGGTAAATGATGGACGTCTAAATGCGGCTCATTGTCTAATAAAAATAAAAGATAAGAATGGCATGATCCCCTATAAATGTGATTAGTTCAAGAATTGGGAAGAACCCTTTATAATTGATCCAACAGAGGCAAAGGCAAGAGGATTTTTCTTAATATTCCAACAAACTAGAGAATTAACAAGGGTTGGGTTTAAATTAGTTCATTATGGAAGAACAAACTTTACAATAACTCCGTCATTCTAAGATTGCCTTATGAGTCAATATATGATTACTTAGAAAATGTAGACTCTGGAGCATACTTACCTAAAGAATGATGTAACTTTTCAGGACATTATTTGATGGGGCAAGATCTAGAAGGATTGATGCAATGTTTAAAGAATATGATGAGAATTATGATCTTAGTGATATCATGGGTGACGAAGGAGTATGGAATCTGAAGAATGCAATGGATTGACAAAACTATGGACATATTTACAAAACCAAGGGTTGAGTCAGCTACACACCCATGTGACCACTCCATCAGCTTGTCTCTTTTTCATAAATAACACGTGATCACCTAACCATAACCACTTGTCTATCTTTTGTTTGTCTTCTATCAACAATAAAATATAATATGTAAAATATTTTATGTTTATAGATTAGGTTGAAATTTAGACTTGAAGTCCACAAGAGCCTATATAAAGGCCTTAAGGGAGAGCAAAAAGGAACACAAATTACTTAGAGTATACTTGAGACTAAGAAAGAAGTCTGGATCTCAAGCCTTCTTAGAGCAAACAATACTCTAGCCATCTAATGGTCTACAGGCACCCCTTTTCTTGTAAATTTTTTGTTCAATAAATAAAAGTATTTTCTTTTCAAAAAAGAGTGTGTTACTTTTATATGATAGATTATTAATCTTAGGTCTCCTACATAACCAAAGAAACAACTTCTAAAGTAGTCTGAGGTAAGAAATGAAACATATATGTGTTGAACCTGATCTAAGGAAGGAAATGTTGAGATTAGCCACCTCTATAAACTGGAAGCTTGGCAATGCTTTATGCCAACTTCGTTCAGGTAACGGTCAAAATCTTTAAATACTATTCTTTTTTTGGAAGTATTGTGGGTTAAAAATCAAAACATCTTTAAAATATAAGAGGCAACTATAATAAGAAGCTTTTTTATTTTTATTTTTTTATGAGTGTTTATTATCATTTTTATGTTCAAGATCTATTGTTAGATCATAATCAATTACTATTATTAATAGCAAACTGGCAACAAAGCTATAATTTTCTATAAAATCTACTAAATAATGATACTACTAGAGATATAAAATTTACTAGAAAAAGAGTTGATAAAATAATTCAAAAAATTATATATTATCAACAACAAATAGACTTAGTATCTCAAACATTAAAAAAAATAAAATAATAATATATAAAAAAATATTAAATTGTTTTCCAATAATGCTTGTTGCCTCGACAATTAGAGGCTCGAATGCCACGAATCATCATCTCTCTTCAACCAACGTGCGTGGCCTTTCTCTCTTTCTCTCTCTCTCTCTCTCTCTCCTCTATTCAAACCCCAAACCCAAGCAACTCAGGCTCTCTCTTCTCTCATCCCTCTTGTCCTTTTGCTCCCTCTCATCCCTCTTGTTGCTGCACCATTCTCTCCATCGTCTTCATCAAACTGCCGGAGCCCTCCTCACTGCACCGTCGTCGTCAAATCATTGGAGCTATCATCGGTGGTTTGGACTATCATCACCTACCAGAAAAGCATCTCTCTCTCTCTCTCTCTCTGTGTGTGGTAAGTCTCGACATCACATTGCCTAGGGTTTGGATTTTGGGTTTGTAAATCAAAAATTGGGGCTTTTATATCAATTTGGATTTGAAACTATAAATCAGAAATTGGATTTGAATTTGTATATCAGTTTATATCAGTTTGGATTTGAATTTGAATTTGTGAATCGGAAATTGGGGCTTTTGAATTTGTACACTGCAAATGTGTTAATTGAGAAAAATTGGTAAACTTCAGATTTTTTTTTGATAAATATTGGTAAAAATTAGATTTAATTGTGTGAAGATTGTGTTAATTGACAAAAACTGCTTTTTGTGAGATTTAAAGGTTAGCTAAATTGCTGCTATAATGGATGGTTGTATTGTAACTTGGCTTAACTTGAATTTTTTTGGCTTAATTTCCTCTTAATTTTTTTGGCTGAACCTGAACCATGTACGGAGTGTTGAAATCTTACCTAAGAAGAATGTTATCATATGCCTTTCTCTCTTCACTTTTGGTCTTAAGATGTTCATCCCTTTACTTCGGTTTGAGTTCGAAAAATGCTTAATGAATGTAGCTTTAACGCTGTCCATAAGCTTATTAACTTGTAATTTCCCAAATTGAATCATCAGATTTTTCAATGTTTTCTTTTCCTTTCCAGAGCACCTAAGAAAGCTATTATATGTTTTATATTATAGCTTGAAATGATTATTCTTGAATCATATTAGTGCTTATGTACTCACCTTATATGAGCTGCCAAGTGTCACGGACTGGGCGCTTGTCATCCTCCCGAGAAGCCGGCTCTACTAGTGGTACTGCATACTCTCGTCAATTATGCCCAAGGACCAACCTAGGAGATACGATAGGGATCTATCCTGCCTGCCTTGCTGCTCACAAACTAATGCGCTTGCAATGTCCTTGGTGTAGAACTTACATCCCTAATGAGTTGGTATGTGACACAAGGTAGGAGTTGTCTACCATCTTCAAGTAAGCTTTTGATGCATTTCTTGAAGTTATCTACAACAATTAAGTATAAACAAAAACTTTAGTAAAAATAATTATTCAAATTGCTGAGATAGAAAAAGAATTCAGATTTTTGAGATAGAAAAATACCTTATCATATTTCTTCATGATCTTTGAAAATGCCAACATATTCAAGAAGCTGTTTATTTGTTAATAAAAAGATCAAACATAGTTCTATGCAAAAATCTAACTGAATTTTTCAAAAATAGAAGGAAAAAAAATAAAATAAAAAAAGCTAAAAAGTTGAGTCTAGTCCACTTATTTTTTTTGGTTGAACTTGAATGCATTGTTAAGGAGTTTTTGGATTGGGTTTTTAGATCATTAATGGTCAACTGCTTGCTTGATAATGGATGGATTTATTGTAACCTGTAAGATTCCAGGTTTCTAGCTGCTGCTTGCTTGATATTTACAAAGATGATTTTGATGAGTTTTGCCTAATTGCTCCTAATTGCTCACTGCCTAATCTATCTACCAACCTTCCTCACTTCTTTGTTGTTGTGATATTACAGATGTCAAGTTCAAGTGTTGGATCATTTGACATATCATAACAAGAATCGCAGTACATGTCAAAGAAGGCTAACTATTCGGATTTCTGAAACCAAACAAAACAACACAAATTATTTTACTCTTGTGATAACTGTGGTGGTTTCATCGGATGGTGTTTGCCAACAAATAAAAGTGATGGAATTGGAAGACAGTTTAAAGTAGAAGTGCAAATGGATCGTGCGCACCTCAATGGTGACGTCGAGCAACATGTAATGATGAAGTTGCAAAAATTGGAAATGTTAATAAAACATGGGTTCTTCCTCTTGTTTGTTATTGGTATAGGGGTACTTATGAAAATCTAGTAACATATTTGTTAGTTAGGATTGCTAATTATGTAGCATGGATTGTGTTTTGATTAACAAACAACTGTAATACATTCTGTATTTTGTTCATTTTTAGTGAATACTTGTATTTTGTTCAGTGGAGTTTGTTGTCCTCTCTTTTTTCTGCTATTTGGCTTGATGTATCCTTACTGTATTAAATTTCAACTTTCATCTGCTTGAGCACACCTCCTTCTCTGTTTATCACTTCCAGTGCCACTACTCCTTGCATCTCTCTCTATATACATTAAACACCTGCTACTACTAGGTCCATTAAACACTACACACTCAGTCCAATCACCAACATTATTGCCTTCTCTCTCTCTTCTGATCTCTATATGGTTCTGTATCTATACTTCCAATTGGCTCCAAAACTGGATAATTGAAATGGGTTATGAGGTTTCTGTACATCAAAAAGCACAAATGGGTGTTGGAAATCATTTCCAAGACTCACAATCTTTTCACATCCCTGTTATCTTTTACTTTGACCTCCTTCAAAATCATTTCCTTTATAAACCCAAAAACTAAAAAATAAAGGAAGAAACAAGATTAAAAAGCCTTTTGGACATAAACATAAAAACCAAACACATAGAATGTATCAATATATCAATACACACATAATGCTACAATAACCAAACAAAATCTTTCTATGTGGACTTTCAGCAAACATATAGAATGCATCAATACAAAAACACCAAAATCATGTTTGAAACAAATTAAAGGGCCTGGTGATATGAAGCAAACAAGAGCAAAATCATGGACCAACCAAGAAGATTTCAACCAAGTTACAGCAAAGAATATGTTTGAAACAATACCTCAGTAGTGACCCACGAATCAGTTGGCTCTTGGTAAGTGGAGGCCGAAATTTTCAGAGAAACCGGAGGAATTGGAGAGTGGTGGACGATGGTCAGCGGTGGTTTTCTTCATCGTCAGTGGCCACCTAGGTCATCGGCGGCGGCGGCCACCCAAGTCCGCTAGGTCGTGGTCGTCTCTCTCTCTATCTCCCGTACCATTGATTTATCTTCTCTTTAGTTTTGTAGGCGTGTGAAATCCACACAGGTTTTGGTGCAAGTGGCCGACGCGTGAAGAAGGCACCGCCAGCTCATTCAAGCCATTTGCGACAGAGCAATTTCGAGGCCTATAGCGGTACTGATTGTTTTCATGTGAGTGTTACAATCGATCCGTGTCATTCGAGTGATACAGATAGTTTGATTCACTCGGTGATCTAGCACCACTCCTGAGAATAATGCAGAGGCATGACAACATTATCCAAGCACGTGGCGAATACAAGTGGAAAATAAAAAATCATTAGGTTGAGATTTGCAATCCAGTTCTGTTTTGTAGCTTGAATTTCGTTTGGCCCGAGTGGCTCGACTAGTTTTTTTTTTCCTCCTCTTTCTCTCTGCAGATAAAAAAGAAGAAGAAGACGGAGACGGAGGAGAGAAAAAGGAGCTGTATGAGAGAGAGCATATCATTATCGTTATCATCATCATCATCAACAACAACAACAATAACAACAAACAACACCACATCATCTGTTTTTTTTTTCTTTTTTTTCTTTTCAGATAACTCGGGATAGAGAGAGAGAGAGAGAGAGAGAGAGATCTATAAACACACACACAGAGAAAGAGAGATACACAGATCTGTGTATACACACACAGATCTATTTGCGTATACACACAAAGATCTATTGATGATGGTGCCGGTGATGGCGGTGATGCCTCTCTCTCCTCTCTGTTCCCTCTTCCTCTCTCTTCTCTCTCTTTCTCTTTCTTTTCTTCTCTCTTCTCTCTCTTTCTCCCTCTGTTTCAGAATATAAGACGGGGAAAAAAAAGCCAAAAATGACGTTGTTTTGGGCAGTCGAGCCACTCGAGCCAAAGAAATTTCGAGTTACGAAGGATTATTCTTTGCAATTTGTACCCACAAATAAGTAGAGCTGTAAACGAATCGAGTCGAATCGAACTCGAGTCAAGTCTAAACCTAAGCCAATACTTTATATACAATATATATAAACATTTATAAAAAAAAAATCTACTACCACCATGGCAGAATGAGTAGATGCTGGTACTGATGATTAGGATTGCAAATCGAGCTCGTTAAGGCTTGTGAACAGGCTCGAGCTCGAGTCAAGCCTAAGCTAACTCGACTCGAGCTCAGTTCGTTAAATTTTTAATAAGTTCGAGCTCGAGGTTGAGTTTGTTAAAATTTTAATAAACAAGTCCAAATATACTAAAGTTCGATTCGACTCGATTCGTTTGTAGCCATACTTGAGCCTATTCACGAACAACTCTGCTCATTTGCAGTCCTAATCATCAGTACCACCGTGGCAGAATAAGCTCGAGTAGAGCCGTTCAGAGAGGAGCTTATTCTAAAATTTTGATTAGACAATTATATATACAATATATATAAACATGTACGGGGAGCAAATATTCAGGCAAGCCCGTATTCCTTTCTTCCAAGCTCCGTTTCTGTCCGATCACCTGAAAGCACAATGAGGGTGAGCTACCCGGCGGTGTGTGGCCGGAAAACCCCTCCGACAATCTAATTAGCACACACCTTAGGATAAAGAGAGAGGGAGGGTGTTTGAGAGTAGGAGTTCCTTACAAAGTGTTCGTCCGTCCGCGTATGGGGGGCGCAGACATGCTTATATACCCTCTGCGCCCCATATCCACTCCCAGTCATCTCCTGACACGTGGCTCCGCTATCCCATCTGTCAGCATAAACCTTGCTGAACATCACCTAGTCTCAACTGCCTGCCTTCTCAGCTGGAGCTCGGCAGCCGAGCTGCTCTATCCACGGCCGTGCTGTGCTTCATACCCAAGCACTTCACTGGCTAAGCCCAAGGAGGACCGGGCTAGGCGGCACCTCGGCAAAGCCGAGCCCGGGGCACCTCCTGTGGTCGGCCTTCCTGCTGATCAAACGATTACCTCGGCTGACCACGCCTTTCCGGGCGCCGGTCACTGAGCTTGACTGGCTCCACCATCGCCTGATCAAGTAGCTCGGTCCAACCGAGCACTGCCGTGCCGAGCAGCTTCTTTACGGTCTGGGGGGGCACATACCTGGCCCAACACCTGCCCGGCCCAAGTCCTGGCAGCCCATCTCCGGGCGAATCGCCGGTCATTTTGGCCCCATGCACCATTAGGCTCTCAACCCGCTCGGCCGTTACCTCGGCCTAATTCCAGATCATAAATCTCCCTCTCAATTGCCCCTTAATTCCGTCCGCTAAAGCGTGACTGGGATTACCTATACTGACCGGGATAATCTTTTCCTCGGTCCGCGGTTTGCAGAATGGCAATCAGGCCGGTTATTATTCCTGGCTTCAGAACTTGCCCGGTTCAACTTCTCGATTTTTCATTCCTGTCTTCAAGACCAGCCCGGCTGGCTCCTCGGTCGGCGTCTCGCCTGACCTTCCTGTCGCTTCAACTCTGACGCTGCATTAATGGGGACACGTGTCATCCTTTTATTCTCCCTCGAGCGGCTAACCCAGCCGTCTTTGAAAATTTGAATTTGGGCGATTTCTTACCCTTTATAAACATGCCCCTGCCCTCTTCCTTCCATTCTTAGTGCCTCTCTTGCTTATCAAGCTTCACAGAGCTATTGCCCATCCTCTGCCGTTCCTGAACTCGAGCTCCAAGGTGGAGAACACACTGCCCTAACTTGGTAAGTCCTCAAACTCCCCTTTTATTGTCATTTTCTTCGATATTTCACACGTTAGGGGAGAGAAACGCAGCTTTTAGGATTCGGGCACCAAAAACCATCCCAAACCCTCCATTACTCATGGTGTTCTTCATTTTTCTTGAAGAACACTGAAGAACGGGGGCGGACCGGGCTCCTGGTCTTCATTTGATCCAAAAAACCTTTATAACCGAGCAAATAACATGTTTGTCAGAACCCCAGCAAAAACCGAGATAGCAAAAGGAATTGGTCGCTCAACCGGGGTAACATCTGGTTCGCTTGGGCGACTGAGCTCCTTAGTTAGCTTAGGAAACTGAGGTGGTTTGGCAATCTTCATGACCGGGCTAAAGAAAAGCTCATTTTGCGCGACCGCGCTCACACTTACACTTGCCATCCTTTTCCTGCAGAGTCCAAGGGGACCACTGTCCATTCCTCAGGCTCTCAAGACCGAGCAACTACCAATTGCCACTGTGCCAAACACCTCAGCCGCGCTACCTTAGTCCGGCCACAAATGGGGAAATTCCGCTTCCTAGTGGATATTCCGGCCGCGCTAGCTGCGTTCAGAGAGGAGTACGGCATCCCGGCCGACGTCCATCTCGAACTGGCTGAAGAGGAGACAACACCTTGGGGCAGACTAGACCAATGCCCCTTCACCGTGCTGTCAATAGTAGAAGGAGGCCTCCGCTTCCCAGTCAATCCCTTGATGACCGAGTTCCTGCGCCGAACCGGGCTAGCACCAACCCAAGTATCCACCAACACCTACCGGATAATAAACGGCGTGCACGAGCTAAACAACCGGTTAGGCATAAGCCTAGGTTTAGCCGAGATCCTGCGCCAATACACCCTAGGCCACACCGGCGACGGCCTCGCCTATTATCTTAAGATTAGACCGGGCAGGGAGAAAATCGTTGCCGGCACACCAGACAAGGATCTTCACGACGATGATTTCTTCTGGGTGTCAGGAAATTACGAGACAGCCGAGGTACCGGGCTGGATGATAAGCAAAAACTTTGGCAGCACATGTAAGCCGCGCAAATTAGCTCGGTTAAGATAGTTTCTTCATGTTTCTGTACTTAGTCATTTTTTTTCTTGTTTCTTTTGCAGCAATCCAAGCCTTGCAAGCCAACTATCATTTCCCCAACGTAGAGGCAATCAGGACTGCGCTCCGCTACCGCGACCGAGATTGCAACCAATTGCTCGGCTACAGTCCCTCATACAGATACTCCGCTCCCCGCCGGAGTAAAGTTACAGACTTCCTCCGCGCTCCAACACCTCCACCAGATCCAACTCTGCCAGACGTTCCGCTCATTCGCTTGACAGAGCAGCAAGAGATGGCCAAACGAAGCAGAATCAAGAACCTGCTCACCGCCACGTCTGCCGAGATGCCGAGCGTTGTCACCCGCTCGCCAGCCGCCGGTCAATCCAGCGGCGCCGTGGTCGCTCTTGCCTCTCCAGCGACCGGGCAGTCCAACAGAGAACCTGCTCCTCGCCGTGCTGGTAAAAGAGCTCGCGCAGACCTATCTGCCGAGCTTGTCGTCGAGCTGACTACCGAGCAGCCATCTGACACTCCTGTCCCAGTGCCGGCCTGGCGTCCATAGCTGAAGCACCGGGGTCAAGACATCCCGGCCACGGCTTCGATCAAGGGCGATAAAGAGCATTTGCTCGCCTTCGATCTTACCAAAGCTCTTCTTCTACCGAGCGACGTGGTCGGCAGCGACCACGTCCCTGACACTCGGTTGATAAAATCATCAGTGAAGTCTATGGCTAGGGTAAGTCAATGTGCCTCTGGAATTTTCACAAGTGTTTGCCCGGTTCCTTCTCTAATCAACTTTGCTTCTTGCAGGCCATTTAGAAACAACACCTAGTAATGGAGCGCATCCATAGACTTCGGCAAAAGGCCAATGACACAGCCAGCCAAGTCCAGAGCCTCCAATCCGAGCTCGGCCGAGCAAAGTCTTCACTTGAGATGGCCAATGCAGACAACAACAGGCTGCTCGGTCAGCTGGATGCGGCCGTGAAAAAACAGGATGAGCTCCAGACCGAGCTAAACGCGCTCAAAAAGTCGCGGAAGAAAGACTGCCGGGATGCTAACAACGCCGGCTTCAACGAAGCTGAGGAGAGCTATAAGAAACAAGTCTTTGCAACACAAGACATTTACTTCAAAGCTGGCTGGAAGTCCGCCTGCGAGCATCTCGGCCAGGGCTCTAACACCGACGTATTTGCCAATCCTCCTCCTGCTTTCCTACCGGTCTACCTCATGCCTTACGCAAACGACGTCTTCAGCGGGTTGCAAGCTGAGGCCGAGGAAGGGCTTGAAGTGGGAGACGCCGAAACAGATATAGAGGCAGAGGATGCCGAGGTGCAGGAGCAGCCCGGCCATGACGAGCCCGGTGCCCAAGACAAAAGTCCAACCATCAACCTTGAGGCCGCCGAGGACGAGTTTACCAATGTCTCCCCCTTAGTTTAGTTTTCTTTTCTTTTTGTATGTTTGCTTTCTGCGTTTCTGATGTAACCGGGCTCTGTCCCCACCTTTTGTATTGACTTTCTATCAATGAAAAACTCTAATTTTGCCAAGTGTTTGCACGGTTGTCATCAATTCCATCTTCAGCAAAACATCTCGGTATAAATCATAGATTGAATGGAACACCTCGTCAACCGGAATACATAACTCGGTTGAAGTACTTAAGCAGAACAAAACAGCAACTTCATAAACCGAAATAACCATCTCGGTTGGTAAT